TTTTTTCTTTTGAAAAGTTTAGATATTTTTTTCAAATTCTCTCCTGTATGTAATATAAGTGCTTCACTATAAAAATTTAGAGACTACAAAGTAAGCCATAGATAATTAAACGTGTACCTGATTAAACTAACTTAAACGTGATTTATTAACACCGTGAGAAATTGGCGCCTGATATATCCAATGGTAACGAGATTTAAAACAATTCTTGCTGTTCATTACGTCGCGAAACTTACAGATTTTTATTGGTTTCTTTGGGATTCTTAAATCGATCGTAGAGATGGAAAGAATTGATACGGCCGTACTTGAGCTCTCGTATCAGATAACCATTCAGATATATGCTGGGGGTTGAGGGTAGTACAAGAGTTCTATATATACTTTCGTGGAACTTGCTCCCGACCGACATACTGAACTTATACGTGTATACAAATGCACATCGCATACCTATCTACTCGCACTCGCGGAATGCAATACAGCGTGGTTGAGATCGCGAGATATTTTGATTTTTTTCTCAGCACCTAATCTAAAATCTATCACGAATAGTGATATGTAATACTTCTGATCTGCACAATTGGCAAAGTATTAAATATCTCATATTACTTCGTAGGCACAAGCAGACAATAAAAGATAATGTATTTCTTTATTTTGAATTATATATAAAATACTTTACATGTTTCACAAATGTGAAATATTATTATTAATGTATTTTGAACAAAATTTCTTCTGTGTGTAAAATAAACTACACTTCAATTAATACTTACTTTCAAAAGTATAATATTCTCTTTTTATTACATTTTTTAATAATTATATTTAATAATTATATTTAATAACAATTATATACTTTTATAATAATAACAAATTATTTCTAGTTAATTATATCAATATTAATTTTTCTCATTAAATTTAATTATAATAAAAGTAAAACTTTTAAACTTATAATAATCTATATACATCTTAATTTTCTTAAATATATAGTTTAATTCACATATTACGTATATATATAATTCCTAAATATTTAATTATAATTACATACTTTCAATAGTGTTTGATTAGCAAAAAATTGTTTATGTACATTTCTTCTTTCATCATGTATAGTTAAAATAGATTTTACATTTTGCATGTGTAACAAGTAAAACTTATGCGTTTAAGAAACCAAAGGAGTCGTAACAAAGGAGAGCTCGAGTCAGAGTGTGTATTAAAAACTAAGATTAAAATCAGGCATACCGAGAACACACCATGGAGTCGCGGGGGATTTTATCCCAGTCACGTGTTATTCATCCTTAACCAGCCGATCTGTCAGTCAAGCAGACAGAGCAGTCGTCAGACTGGCAGTCGGTGACACGTTTCGTACAGAGTTCGGTGCAAATACACGCGCACTCCGCGTTCTATTAAGAGCGAGGCACGAAAAGGCTAGACGACACGAGGTGACATCGAGATGGGTGACACGACATGGCCCTGCGCTTAGCCCGCCTCAGTCTTACAACGACGACAGCTACGCGCACCTCTTCGGCCCGAACATCTTTCATTGCGTGATAGACACGCTGAACGTTTTTACTTCAATCTTTATCCGCGTTCGTTAAAGCTTGTGTGTCTCGATGAGAAACTCGAGGGTCTTGTACAGAGTACAACTTAATCACCATTATACGTAAACACTTAAAAAAATGGCTTCGTTGAAAATGGGCACAAATCAAAAGATTCTGATTAAATCAATCAGAATTCCAATTATCTCAATTACATTTTTAGTCGATTTAACCAGAAACTTTTCTGATTAAACCTATTCGAAAATTCTTTGGTTAAATCTATTAAAATTCTAAATAACCCCGAAATTTTGATCGATTTAATCAGAATCTTCTGGTTTGTCCATTGTCAACCAATCACATTTATAGATAATTTGGAAAAATATGTATTTTACTTCATTATATAGTAGTTCATTATATAGTGTTGACTACTATTTGGATTAAAACATTAAGTAATTATTAGATAAAACGTATAAACGATCACAGAAAATAAATAACAGTATGTCTTTCTACATGTATTTCTTTTTAGTTTATTATATAAATTTGGATATTTAAAGCGACCTAATTACTGATTGATAGTTATAATACACTGCAGCAAATACTATAAGTGGCATAGTGTGATCGATTAGCTAACAACGCAAATGATTATCGTTAACAAGATAATTTTACGAGATTTCGAAATAAGTATATAATGTTACCCCCTTAATTAGTTTTCTACACAACTAATTACTTACCCTTTTGCTTATGTAAGTAATATATTTAAAATAATTATACCTTGTATTTCTGATCGATTATTATTTTTCGAAGAAAGTAAAATTTCCAAGTCATAAGAATCTTCCGCATCCTCACAGGGATGAAGTGACAAATGAATGTACGAAGTGCTCCCATTGCATCTGCTTAAGATTCAATGCGATTACGAAATTTATTACCGAGAGATATATATAACGCAAGTCATGCGTATGATTACGGAAATTCAAGTTACAATAACATATTGGCTCGTACTCCCCTCGATGCTTTAGAATTTATAGTGCGAGAATAACTACTGAGATCGCGCCAGATAGAATCTAAATGCTAATTAAACAGGTGTGCCTGACATGCGTGAAATTTAATCGGGTCAGCGATTACCGCGGTACTTTAATGTATCAAAAGGTATCACTAAAAATAATAAATCACGAGTATATCAAAGATAAAATAATATTCAATAATTTAACACACACAACGCGCGCATGCGTACACACGCACACACACACACAATTATATCATTGTGAGATTACTTCCATTGACTATGATTACTCCTGCGCATGTTCTTTAGGGATGATAAAAACTCCGAACCTGTTATAGACATCAAGCAAAGCGTTGTGAGCGTATCGAGATCTCTCTTGTGGTATTAGTTGGAATTAACATGGCGCGCCTAAGAAACATATTTCAATCGTATATGAGCATCGTTGAGAGCTTTCTCACCAAGTATATTCCTTTGCATACCAACGTACATTGTATAGATATCGGCAAGCCATCGATAGTTTCAATTTATCAGAAAAAATGAAAATGCATATTTCAAGAAGTATTAATTTTCTTATAATTTTTCATTTTTCGTAATAGTTTTTATTTAACAAAACAGAAGAGAAAGATACACAAGCGGTTACGTTTCAAACGTTATCAGAAAATGCAGATATATGAGACAATAAAAAAGAATTAATGAATTTCGATAAGTGTACAATGTGTATAAATTTGGTTACTAAAAATTAAAAAATACATGAGAATTAATTAAAGAATTTAACAAAATATTTGTCAGCGAACGAGAGTATTCTATAATAATGCGAGTGACCGAAAAAGGAATTCCGTTTGTCTGTTACAAAACGGGTAGGTGCGCTGGATAAACGATATGCAGACCGAACGAGTCCGTGTCCAGACAACCAGAACACTATTTATTAAAAAGTCAGGCCACACGACCCAGCGACGTGTTACATCGGGAGGAAAGCGATAACACCGGACGAAGGGTCCTGTCATTAAGCCCGGTAGGAGCTTCGTTGTTCAACGCTCGCTGGTTGCCGTCCTCTGCGAAAACGCTTTTCACTCTCGTGAAAGTGCTCAGTTCGTGCTGCTCAGAACTGTGGAACGAATCTTTAAACGTACTGTTATCAATGTTATGCGTAAACGCTCGAAATACTAGATAATCACACATGCGAAAGAGCTACTTTCTGCGAACAATGGGAAATATTTATTCGTATATACATTCTTGTCCTCTTCTTATTCATACTCGTACATTTTATTGCACTTTTCTCTCTTATGCGAGTACCAAAGAACCAGTAAAGATTTAAATGATTTACTTTTATTTCGCGATTATTACACTACTTCCTATTTAGTTACATCTTTATTTGAGTTATTTTGGTCCAATTTCTCATTCTTGTTTCACGCTATTAATAGCTATCTATTATAGCTGTAAATGAGCCGACTCTTTAATATCCGCAATGACCCGTGATCACAATGAACCTGAAAACGTACGAACAAATGGCACCTTTGCACGCGTACAACACCTGCTAAAATAACGAACCGAAACCTTATAGTGCTGCGAAAAAAAATATTAGTAGAATGATCATATTAAAATATAATACGGATGCTCTATACAGAAATTATACAAATATTTCTAAAAATAAGATTATATAATACAACGAAGGATTATTTGCATCAATTAAAAACGTTATTTTTTACAGTGATGTAATGTATACTTATAAGAGTATTTACTATCTTATCTTTTAATTTTTTTTAGAATAGTAATGTGTTTTCGTGTATTTAACGCAATATACTATATGCAACTAAGCTAAATTACCATCTGAGAATTAAAAATAATTTACGATATGTATATCGAATTAAGATTGAATCAATTTGATACAACGAAGATTCTTGCGGCGATTATATCATAAGTGACATTGAAACTACGTCAAAACTCATTTCTATGTAGTTCTGTTGTTCGGTGTAGTCAAATGCAATTTTTGCAAGTAGAGGTGTAACAGGCGGAGTATCGTAATAATAGCGTTGGAAAATTATTTATGGCCGAGGCGTGCAAAGCAAATAGGTAAAACAGCTGCCAAGTTGACCAGTTCGCAATCTAGTAGCACTGGCGGAGGCATTAACCACAACTCGTTGAAATAATTAACGAGGTCGTCACGCGTTGCACGCGCTTGGACCTTTAGTAATATATATACGCATCGCGCCTGTGCTTTTTATTCAATCTCTCGCACTTTTCCCACTCGTATGGTCTGTCCGTGATAAGATCGAACCACGATTTGAAAAACACTTTTTATCTTAAATATTACACTTTGTATATACCAAGTATCATTTAAAGATATATTTGATACGCGTAGCGCGTTCGCGAGGAATAAATGTAACAATTTAACTCGAACAGTTTATCAGTTTCTTTTTTGTCTACAGAGATTGCATTTACGTCATCTTCTCGTAATGAAATGATGAAAAACTCTTGGTTTCTAGGCACGGTGAACGCGAACGGTGAGACGAAACGACAAAGGACCTCGTACACCAGGTATCAGACGTTGGAGCTGGAGAAAGAGTTTCACTTCAACCGCTATCTGACAAGGCGGCGTCGCATCGAGATCGCGCATGCTCTCTGTCTTACGGAACGTCAGATAAAGATCTGGTTCCAGAATCGGCGTATGAAGTGGAAGAAGGAGCACAAGATGGCGAGCATGAACATCGTGCCGTACCACATGTCGCCGTATGGGCACCCTTACCAGTTCGCGCCCCACCCCGGCCAGTTCGCTCACTTGGCCACATAGGACGAGTTCTCGCCCGCCGAGCTCGGAGCACACGCTGTCCGGTTCCCCGGGATGTACGGCGAGCAGAACTTCTAAAAGGCTTTTTCCGCCTTGGGCCCCGCTCTACACACGTCATGCGACGCTGTCACTTGTGACTTGGCGGGGTCGAGGGGGGACTTCACTTCCAGTAGGACACATGGTGCGTTCCGCTGATTCCGCAATGCGCCGATGCGATGGTTGGACTGTCGTCTCTGAGAGATCGTATCCTTCTTTCGTATATGTCAATAACGTACTTAAATTATTTACGCGTTTGTTATCGGTTCGTGCATATACATTCAGTTGGGCTGTCGAAAGAAGAACTTCTCTATCGAGAGAAGCACGAAAGAGAACAATTCTTTCCTTCCTCTGAAGCTGAGCAGAAACAAGTCTGGTTATCGCTCGCTTTCGGTCTGCGGATACGCGCAAGTACTGTCACTGTACGACTTCGAAGTTGAAGAAAAGCCAACATTTTCTGCATATATAGCGCCGTGCGCCCGATTTAATAGACTGGACGCGCTCCGAGGGGCTCTCATGCACGTGATTATAAGATATTAATAATGATGCTAACAGTGCGGATGAGAGGCCACCTCAGCGGGTGAGATAAAACCGAATCTCTAGTTTAAGATGTAGAAATCAACGACCTAAGTAATTAATTGGTTTAATGACGAATTGTCTTGTCTTGGCTGCACACTGTTTCACGTAAAATCGGTCGAGTGATTGATTAAAATCTTGCAAATTAAAGTATGTATTAGTAAATTTCTTTTATTTATTGTTTCCTCTTCTATACGCCATTTACTTATTTGGCTCTTTATGTAGACCGTTTATGTAGAACGTATTCGTAGAGAAAGGCTTGCAAAAGATTCAAAGTAACATTAAACGAAACATATTTTTACGTTCAAAAAATCTCTGTATCATAGTTTCATGTGTGTAAGATGGCACTCAAATTATTCTTCACTGGTCTTGAAGGGAGAAGTGACCTTTAGAAATCCATGTTGATTGCGTATAAATTATGCAGGCTTTACGAAATATTCTTAGAAAATAAGAATTAATAGAATAACAAAAAAAACGGAAGGGGAGGATATTCGTACAGTATGATTTGCATGTGATTGAAACAGTACGATTATTGTAGTTAATACCTACAGAAATAATCGCAACTAAAAATTTTTACATCTCCTTGTACTTATAATATTTATAATGTTATAAGATAAATAAGATTATGTATAATATTATAATATTTTTCATATCAAATGCCTGGATGCATTTTATCTCCTCTTCGTACATCCTTTTGTTCTCTATCATTATGCAGTGCTGTAAGTCATACTAAAAAAGTGTATCCTAAAGTGACAAACTTTTTTTTATTGGAAATTAATGTTACTCGTATCATGCGATTTGCATTTGTTTTATTCTAGAATATTATTAATGTGGAAACGGTGGACAGCTACGACCCTGCATCCTTTTGTACATAATTTGCAGCATAATATAACCAATGTCTCCCTGGAGCAGCCACGTTGTTCCTATATTGTCGATACGTAGAGAAATCTCGCGCGGAAATTACTATTCATTTTATCTTATCGCATTAAGCATTTTATCGCGATGATTGATACGTGAACAAATGGACTACTATTGTTTCTCGCGCGTCGACTATAGTAACTTTAATCCACATAGGAACTTATTAGTTTCCATAACCATAGTTTTAAAAAGTCCGAACTATTAAATAAAAAGGAAATGTTTCATGCGGTCGAATGGAATAAGTGACCCCGGATGCATTGTGAGTACGTCTACGTCTGACTTCGATGGTGCAATGTATGTGCATGTAGCGTTGAATATCTAACGTAAAATTGCATGCACGTGCTGCCTGATTACGCGTATTTATCGGCACAGGATATACGTAAATGTGTGGTTGAGTGTAACGAGAGAAACGTATTTTACCCCGTATGATTTAATAAAAAAAAAAAGATACAAGAAATAAAATTGGTATTGACTAGTTAACCGGGAAGTGAGCGCAAATGTGTAAACTAATTAGCTAGTACTCGAGTAATTGATTATCTTGTGATACAACAGAGAGGAAAAGCGGTCGCTCTAATGCTTATTGAATTGTCATAACCGCGCGTTACGCGATGCAAATTCGGAAGAATACAGGGAATTTAGTATGTGTGTATGTTGTTCGAGATTCTAAGCGGTACAAGCGAAAGCAGAAAACAAATAAAGAAGAGACTTTCTAGCTAGGCTAGCACATTGAATTGTACATAATTATTAAATATATAATGCGATATCTCGAATGAGACGTTATTATTGTACGAGGCGTTAACGAAAGAAGACCTTCCTCTTGCATGACATTAATAAATTGTATTAATCTTACAAGAAATTATTTACGATTAGAAAATATCTTGCGTTTATTTAATTTGAGAAATAAATAAAATAATTTCGAAAACCATCGTTTAGAGATTGTACAAAAAGGTTAGATATGTTTCTTACAAGAATGCTGTCAGGAACAACATAATTTTGTTCTTCGTTATCGCCTGGTACGTTATATGGATATTTAAATAAAGCATAGTGAGCATTATTATTATATTATTATTATTAATATTATTATCATTATCATTATTGAAATTCTTGATATTATCTTTATTATTGTATTGAGAGTGAGTCTGTTGCTTATGATTTGGTCGAGTGTTAATATTGTATTTTATTTGTTTCGTTATTATTATTTTTTTGTTATCTATTTACGCCGCGTGTCGTACAACACGTCCCGTACCTATGAATGATGTGCACAAATAATGCAAGATTTGCATTACTCTTTTACACGAGATTGCGGGATACGTAGCCGTGCTATCTCAATGCTTATCAAAAATCGATTCAGAGTCGTTCTCGTAGTCTGTACCCGCAGTTTGGCGAAAGTAAGAGACGAAATGAAAATTGCAGATATTTACTATTTATTCGTCAGGTGCAAAGATATGTGCGTTCTCTCCGAGATAAATTAAGCTCAAGTATTACGTTGGCGTAGCGTCACTCAAATGTTATTTCATTCCATGTAATATACGTAAAATAGCCTAACTAAAAATATTTACTTATTACATCTACGTAATCTAGAGCACCGTACGTGTAAGATCCGTATAATTAAATATAATTTAAATTGTAATTATTAAATGGTATGACGTACAGAAATCATTGATGTATACATTTCTTTTTTTCGAACCTACAAGACCGAAAGAATTAATCATCGACTTTGATAACGCTCTCAATACAAGGCGTGCGAAAAAATATTAAATATAATTTAATTATTTTACAAATTATATAGTTAAATACGTTACGTTACGCTATAAGTAACAAAGAGAAGTGGATCGTGTTATAAATTTATAATTACGACGCATCGCAATAATTATTATGTTTATAATTGCTGATACAATACTTTAACGCGTACGCTTTATTGCTCAAACGTGAAACATGATAACGTTCATGTTGAAGAACTGTGGCGCGTGATGACCACGCGAGGTTATCTAACCGCGATACTTTCTCTTTAACGCATTTCATTATTTTAATAATGTATTGAACTAAATTGTCCGCGCGGAAAACTAGATTATTAGTCAAATTTCAATTAGCAGTGCTGATGTCAAGTTACATTAATTATATGTATACATATATATATATACTTATATATTTAATCACAAAATTTAATTAACATTCATATAAGTGTATCAAAACGTTTGATCACAGACAGTTTACATTTTATTCAGTCTGAAAGGATTGCCGATAAGAATCGCATATCGGCAGCAGAGAGTCGCGTGTGATAAAGCAAAGTCACACCCTCAAAAACTACCGAAGCGGACAAGAGTCGTATAACAAGAAAACAAGAGAAGAAATAAGTCTTAACGCAAGTCACGATCCGTCACAAGACTCACTCAAACGACTAAGATCGTCTAAGCTACCGACGATGACGACGCGTATTCGATTGGCTTCGTAGGTGCACCTTTGTTAGGGATTGCGGCAAGGTAACCGTGACTTTCGGTGTATAGTCCGTAACGGAATACTGGTATAAAGAGGCGCTATGGCGCCAGCCTACCGTAAGGTCACGACCTCTCGATTAAATCAGACTGCTCTTCTATCAGAAAGTATAAGTACGGACTCTCTAGAATTTCTGAGTTGAATGTACTTCGACATCACGATAATTAACTCGCTCCTTATCCGTGCTCGTGCACATAATTACATACAGCAGCAAATTTAAACAATGTATTGCGGCATTAAAGCAACCTTGTCTTTATTTGATCAACGCGTCCTGTGTACAGGTTTAGAACCGAGAGCTTGTATCGAGAGAATTACAAGAAAATGTAACTTTCTCGAATAAGCTATTAAGCTTTATGTGAAACGGAAAGGGGAAAGCACACAGAAAAGTTTTCAGACAAGGCTCTCTCGTCAGTCTATCAGAGACGAGAAAGATCCCCACGACGAGCATCAGCTTTCGCGCGAACACCGTAGGTATATAATACCTCTCGCCTGCCGTCAGTCACTCAGTCAGTCATTGATACCACGGGGTGATTAATGAAGAGTCAAGGTTCGGGATCACAGTACCGTGTGGCGTGTAGAAGGGGACCGCGGAGCCCCGAGCACGACATCGCGAAGAATGTCGATACCACGCGGCTCCGAGAAATGAGTGCGCGTAGGTCGTCTATTGTGAAATTAAGTCTTGTTCAAGGTGTGGGATTTATCGAGCAATCATGTCGGATGTAATTCGACATAGAAACGTTTAGTAACGAAAAACGGAGTCGGGGGAAATCCTAAAAAAAAAAAAAAAACTTTATTGCTTATATACGATAAATTTATCATTTGTAAAAACTTTTATCATTGAAGGTTTTCTTCTTCTCGAGTTCTATCTATTTCATGAAAATAGGAGAATATATCAATTGTTGAGAAAATGATTTTGAAAAAAAAAATACATCGACAGATCAAGTAAGCAGTGAGCTATCTGCGTACGGATAAGACTCCTC